GGTTTTTTTTGTGCATGTGTTTTCTCATGTTGCATTGTGTTGAACTCTCAGGGCCACTGCAGTCAAGAGAATATAAACAGTTTTGAAGAAGAATTTTGAAAGGGCTTCCCAACAAACGAAAGAGTATATTACATCTATGGTAAAAAGATTGATAAAAATGTTTATCCAGTGACAAGAAACTGTAAATCAGCAGTAATATCCCAAAACCTATGATAATTTTTCAGAAGGGAGACATAAAAGTACCTGCAATGCAGGTATCCAGCCAGGCTCTGTGGAAGCACTAGTGAACATCAGCAACATAAACTGCCTGCAGCATTTAGCTCACAGTCTGCTGCCCAGCCTTTCTATCTGAAACTTGTCACTGTGTCTTATTACTGAGATTGCTGTTAACTCTCATCAATCCTCCTATCCTTTGTCTCAGGTCAACTACAGAAAGCCACCATAAAATCACCAGGCGAGGTGGAGGAGACATAGAAGATGGAAGATAAAATAGAATTTGATGGAGGGAAAGTGAGACAGAGATAAAAGAGATATAGAGGATACCAGGGAGGGGGAGTCACAGTGAACATAAACGATATGGATGAGTCCACATACAGTAAGAAGACAGAAGACCAAAGCTCAGAGATCATAACACAACCTGACATAAACCTGAAAACTATAGGTTGATCGGCCCCGTCCCATTTAGAGGGGGGAGAGATGGAATCAAAAGCTAAATGAAGAGAAGTAATAAACACAACTCCAGCAGCTTGGTAACCAAGGCAACAGTGCCGCAGGTTTTCTGCTGGACATTAAAGCCAGTCTCACTTGGGAGAAGGGAGGGGGGAGGCTGGTGACTGCTCCAAGAAAAGCAAAAACTCTGTGGTAATGATGCCAGGAGAATGTGTTCATAGAGGCAGAAACCACAGACAACCTGAACTGTATGTTTTCAGATTTGGAAGCAGCAGCACCGAGCCATGTCGCATTGCATTTGTCTCATATGTGAATTAATCAGAGCTGGTGCTCACATGTTACTACAGGTACTACAGAACTGCTGGTGGATGAATATAGTAGGACTGCTGGACTGAGCTAAGGCGCTTCGTTGGCAGTGGCTGACTACATATTAATCAGTGACTATGTGTGTCACAATAACTACTATCTTGTTGTGCTGACATGCTGTTGATAATTCTGGAAAAGTGTGAAGTTCCCAGCCCTCTCTGACTTGTATATCTGTCCCCATAGCTGTGGTCATAAATATGACTGAATGTGTTTTCTAAATGCATTAGGATCAGAGAATGATAATTTCATTAATCTTGGTGTTAAGAGAATGTCAGTTAAATATTCTGTATGAGACTGTCTTAATTAAGACAGTATCAGCTAACATGACATATGTATATCTGAAGCCTAACATGACTGATATATTTTGAGCATAGTGTGATTTTGAATGCTTTTGATTATCATTTCAATTCGCTGTTTGCTGTGGATTATAACTTGGGTGTTTTACAAAGTGTATGCTATAAAGTATTACTTTTACAATATTGTGCGATCTACATTACTGAAAAACATTATTTTGCTTAGATTCAACCTAGAATATATGGCTTGAGTGAATAGAGGATATTACTTGTTGTCCATTAATACTTCTCTATTAATCTTTAATCACCGTGAATTTTACTTTGATTTAAACATGTGTTTATGGGATGATGATATTGTGTTCAATAAGTGTGTTCAAACGTATTCTCCCAAGCACTCACACATTCACGCACCAGTGTCAGCTGGGTGTTCAGTGTCTTGCTCAAGGACAGTTTGACACGTGGATTGGACAAGCCAGGAATCGAATGGTTAGGAGATGACCTGCTCTATCTCCTGAGCCCCCCCAGCTTTATAACAATTCTCTCTAACATTACAGAAACAAGGCATTAACAGACATGCAATGTGTGTTTTTTTAAACTTACTGTTAAGTCCCAGTCAGCAGTGGAAATATCACTCCCTTTCAAGTAGCTCCAAGGTTGATAAATCCAACTAGTGGTCACTGCTTCTTCCCCCACATGACCACACACAGTCCCAAAGTAGTGAAAATAATTCCAACAGGTAGTGTAGTGTCAATAATAATGTCATGGATGGTGATTGACCTGACCATAGACGCCAGTGACGCTGGTGAGGTATCCTGTCCAGCAGTGCCTGCTGTTACTCTCCAACTGGCCAATTACGCTGTCACCTGCTCTTCTCTGTCTACTCACCTCTCTTCCCTGACTACTCTACCATGAGTGTTAAAGACACCAGCAACATGTCCACTCACCTGCTTTTCCAGGTCCTCTGGTCCAGCTGGTTTCTGCCCGTCTGTCTCCATTCACCTGCATGCCTTCGTCGCCAGCTCCACGTTACTCTGCCTGCCTGTCCCGTCCAGAACCTACTCTGCCTGCCTGTTCCCTGCAGAACTGGCTCAGTCTCTGTCCCCTCTCTCTTCCACCCAGTAATTCATTTACCATGTACAATAAACTCCTTTCTCATTTCACTTCCCAGTAAGTCTTGAGTCTGCATTTTTGGATCCTACCTGCCATGCCTAATCCTAATAACCTGACGTTTTTCTGCACACAGACAGCTGAGCTGTTGCACACAGATTCACACTTTACACAGTAAAACCAATAGGAACAAAACGGTTGTGGTCAAGATGGGCACAGTGCTACTGCTGGGAATGAATTAATTTTAAGATGAACATTTGACTGCAAAGCAGACGCCATGTTGGTTTAATTTTGATGTGTGATGCCTTAAAAACAAAGAGTATTGGAGTTGTTTATTTCATCCAGTGTTAACATGATGTAGCCTCAAAGAAGGCTTGGAACAAGGGTCTGCACAATATCCTACAGTACATGATGCAGGAGAAATCATTATTAGCTGTAATTTAGTGAGGGTGAATTGCCCTAAGTCACCACCCTCCCCACTTGCTTCTTGTTCTATCTGTGTTTGTAGGAAAATGCAGTGTTTCATTCATTTAGAAATTACATTGCATCATAATACAATCCAACAGTCAGATGCCTTTCTTACAAAATGTGTCTGCATTTGCAATTTAGTTGCATAAGAACATTTTAATGGACAGAGCAACTGAACAAGTAGTCTATAAACTAGTAATCTGTATGTTAAGACTGTGCAGTGGTACCTGGCCTTTAAACCCTCATTCTGCCCCTTGTGTTTTAATGAAGCTGTATTAACAGTATTGTTTTACAAAGTCCACATAACTATTGGGTTATGACAGCAGCTGTGTGACATATCAGATTTCAAATCAATGATCACAAAGATGTTTTTTTTCATTCTAGCATTACTATTTATTATTTCTTAACACAACTTAAGCATGTTAACCATGTTTAATAGATCTTAGAAATGTGAAGCCGAGTATAACTGGTAATAATTATTTATCTGGCGCAGTACCTGTATGATAAAGATTATGGTCAGACAATTCTATTGTATAAACTGTGGCCTAAACAAAACACAACTCTGCTGTGTGAATACAATACTTCAGGCAGTCAGCTCTGGTTTGTGTGTGTCTGAGAACAAAGCACCATCTAATGGTGACACTGTGCAAATCAAAGAATAGCTCTTTAATGGATGTGTTTACTTACTGTGGTATCTAGACATGCCTGATCAGGCAACAGGAGAAAGGGGGCTCCTGGAAGGCCCACAGGCACTATTTTGAATGCACACATTTTTATTTCCTGTTGGCTTACAAAGCACGTTGAATGTTTCTGTACCGGAGCCAAATTTCTTGTGTGATAACATTCTTGACTAATAAAAGGGATTAGCTGATTAAATGATCAAATCCTAGACGTAATGATACAAATATTTTGGGAAAATTTTATTCATCACTCTCTGTCATTCTGAAATGACTGCTAATAGAAAATACTTTTTGGATGTGTGTCAGATAAGGGTGTAAAAGTAAATGTGTTTGTTCTGAACTGTTTCGGTAGAAGATTTTAGGTTTGGTGCAGGTGTGTACCAAACGTAACCTTTAATAGTATTTAACAGTGAGCTTGTTGTGCATGTGGATTATTTATTTCAAATCCACCTTCCCACATGAACATATTAAGTGGTGGACCAGACCACAATAAACACACAGCATGCTTAGCTTAGTCAAGCCTCTGGCTAGCCAACATCACAGCCAAACATTGTTTGAAAGGAGAAGCCAGAAAAGTTTCCTTAATCATTAATGGGCTATCTGGGAACACTTTGGCTTCCTAGTGAAATACAACCATGTACTAAAACAGGTGGATAAGACATCTGACACGCTGGAGGGACTATCTCTCTCGGCTGGCCTGGGAACGCCTCAGCATTCCCCCGGAGCAGCTGGAGGAAGTTTCTGGAGAGAGGGAAGTCTGGGCATCTTTGATTAGACTGCTGCCCCCGCAACCCAGTTCCGGATAAGCCGAGGAAAATGGATGGATGGATGGATGGAAGACATCTTATTTGTTTATTATGGTCCACTACTATCATCAAAACACCAAATGAGGAAATATTGGAAGAAAGGTTTTCATCCCTCCAGCAGACACTTGGAGAACTACTGCCAAGGAACACTGAAGCTATTCATGCAACACATTACAACATGTTTTTTTTATTTTATTTGTCACCTATCTCTACAGTACATACTGTATACACAGCGGCCACTTTCTTAGATACACCAAGCTAAAATTCACAACAATCCTGCAATACAGTTAGGTGCAAAGGTTTCCATCCCCTTACTTTGAAAAGCAAAATGAGTAAAACAAAGAATTTCAAAAATGGTCAGGGAGTGTTTAAAAAAGTTACAGTAAAATAATGAAACTCATATCAGTGCAAACTGTGCTGCATCATACAGAGATGTGATTCTGTTAATTGGCCCGCCATAATTTTGGTGGACCAATGTCCTTGCACCTAAGTAAACATAATCTTTATGAAGGAGGAGCTATTGCAGTACTGCTGCACTGTATTAGACTGCATTAGTTTTAGCTTGGAGTACCTAATAAACACCTGAGTGTCTTTGTGCATTCATGTCTTACCTCCATTGTCCTTCACTGTAAAATTTGCATTAACTTGATGCTCATCAGGCACATAGAAGGAGAACTTCCCATTTGCAAAATTGTCCCGATCAGCTGCTCGGACGGTCTGAATCACCTGATAGAGACAGAAGAGATGTGAAGGAATGTAAAAACCAAGGCAACAAAGATGAACATAGTAAAGAGAGAAAGAGACATTACAGAAATGTGGACAAAAGGAGGTATTAAAGAAAGAAAATAGAATAAAGTATTAATTTTAATTCTTCAGTGACTGAGTTGGTCAGTTTTTTACAATACATTACACAAAATAGCAAGCTAAATGGCAAAGATTTCAAGTTTACACACCACAAATTGAGATGTTATTATATGATTTAAGAAAATGTTTATCTCATAGCCTGCTGAAATTACCAGACAACTGAAACTATTCAAAATTCCAGAGTGAAGATATAGCTAAATACTGTACTGTCAGTATTAATGTTGATGTCTGCTGCACAAAACTTCATCAGTAACTGTTAATTAATTCCCTGCTGTCCCCGATGCAGCTATTTCCAACTGAGAAAGAAAGAGGACATTTCCTGTATATGCAGTGGCCAAAAATGCAAAGCTAGCGTGGCATCTCAATTTTTAGCACTTTGTCAATTTGCTGGTCAGTCTTTCTGTGCTAATTATGAATTAGAATTGTGGACTATAGACATTTTAATGCATTTTTTGGGAGTTGCGTAATGTAAAGGCTTGTTTAGCAATTGCTTTTATAGGCCTACTTGTCAAATTATTACATAATGTGTGACTGTTCTGTTTTTTAAACCACTGATACACACCAGCCCACAACAAACTGTTAAGATTTAGAAGGTGCACTTCTGCTCATGTCTTACTTGTGGTTATCTATAAGACCCTTTACATAGATCTGTAGAAATGTGTAATTAAGTATTGCCTGCATGTTGCCACTGCTAGTTGGCAGCATAAACAATGTTAAACCTGGGTGCAGTTACTTTTGAAACTGTAGTCGGACTCATGTGGTGTGAAGGTATATAAACAAGGAGGGCCTCACTGCAATAAAATGTAAAGCCACCACAAGTCTGGTTTCAGTATAGCTCATAAGCCTCGTCCCTTCCATGGTAGTAGATGTTACATGAGCCTAAATAAATAAACATAAATAAATTCAAAATATAAATAACTTTCCTCAAAGGTGGTTTTTGTAAGATATAAGTATTTCTATTAATATTGTGATTTGGATACAAGTGGTGATTTTTCTGACAAGTTTACTTTTCATTCATTTTTTCTACCACTTAGTCCTTGAACAGGGTCAGAGCCACACGCACTCCTATGGGCAATTTAGAGATACCAATCAACCTAAGCTGCATGTCTTTGGACTGTGGGAGGAAGCTGGAGTACCTGGAGAAAATCCAGGCAGGCACAGGGAGAACATTCAGACACTGTATAGAAAGGTCCCGGGTGGGGCCCGAACTCGTAACCATCTCGCTGTGAAGCAACAGTGCTAACCACTACGCCACCGTTCTGCCCCAGTAAAATTTTAGTTTTGATAAGTTAAAAAGGTTCCCTGATAGACTAGTGGTTAGGGTGCAGCGCTCCTGCTGCTGCGCCCCCGGTTTGATTCTGGGTTGCGTCAGGAAGGGCATCCAGCGTAAAGCACATGCCAAATGTCAACATGCGAATTGTGAATGTGATGATTCACTGTGGTGACAAGCCAAAAGTGACATTCATTTGATTATATAAAAAGGGGGGTATTTTGGCAGCTCCACATCACTACTGGCCAGAATCTGGTTGTAAAATGTATCACAAAAGAAAGATGGCTACCACCATGTTGGTAATATTTCAGCTTCACTTTTGCATAGTGGACGGAAATGATGATGAAGCAGGAGGGGAGAAGGAAATAGGATGGAGAGGTTGTACACATATCTGATGTATATAGCACAGCTGACAGGCTAACAGCAGATCACAAATTTGTTAATTACACTGCATTTTATCAACACTTTCCCATCATTAATCTTGGCCACTCTCTCTATACTCACTGGAGTCAAACAACATCCTTCCCTTAGTGCTGATTGAATTATTGCTCAGTGTAGTTATAAACCAAGAACATAAACAAAGAGTTCCTCCTGCATGAAAGATCACTGCCTCCCACTCAGTCAAACTGGTGAGAGCCTCACAAATCTATGTGTCAAAGTTCAAAAAAGATAAGAACTGTGTGAGGTGAATATGACTTGCCTCGTTCCACAGAGAAATGAATGGGAGGGAAATCTAGTCTGTCAGCACCATTACACAGCCCCCAGCTACTCTTGTGTGATGTGTTTTTGATAATGCTCATTTAAAAGATTTACAGTAATGTTGATGTGTTTATTAAAAGATATTTATTTTCCCAGCAGATTCCTCATTGTTGCAGCTTGTTTTTTTGGGTGCTTAAAAACCATTTGCTTCCTTTAAGCGTTTCTGATAGAGTTTGTTTTCTATAGAATTAGGCTACTTTCCTGAAATCCTGCTACACAATATATTGTACATATATGTATATATTTTTTTTTCTTTATAGCAGTTCTATCCATTCATGGCATGGATGTGTAATGAGTGGAGGAAAAGACATGATCTAGGGCTGCTGTTCAGTAACCACACACACACACACACACACACACACAGCTTCACTGTCATAACTCCAGGTTTTATGGACAGTTGTATTAACTGTTAAACTATTGAGTCAAGCTGCTATACAATTATGGCAAAAACATTAAATTACAAAGCCAAGCAGGTGTCTGCTAATTAGCAGTGTTGGAAAATAACTAAGTACATATACTCAAGTACTGTACTTAAGTACAATTTTGAAGTATCTGTACTTTACTTGAGTATATCTCTTTTGTGCTACTTCATACTTTGACTTCAATCATTTGTGATATTACTCTTAGTTCCAGTCAGACCTCACAGCAGTACACTTGTGTGTTCCTCTATTTGTGTTGGCATACACTGCTGGGCTGGGTATCTCAGTCCTTATGTGGTGCTGAATTCTACCTACACTGTTCAGCTTTAACTAGCTCAGTAACACCTGTGGCAGACAACGCGTTGACATCATGATGAATGGCTGCTATGGTAGCAAGACCTCATTATGCTTACCTCTGATATGAGAGCGACACAAACTAACAGAGTCATGCCACATTCATTTGTTCCCTGGATCAACAAGGTCCATGTCAGATGATGGGGAACCAAGGCTACTAGAACAAACCATTCATGGACAAGAGATAAGAACTTCGATCTGATTAAATGCTACAATAGGAGATCCAATGACAGGGGATATATGAAACACACGAGGGAACTATGGAAGCATAGAAGACCAACATCCACACTAACTGAGAAACAACTAGTTCCCCAGCGCTTCAACATATTGAAGAGGAAGTTACTATCACAGCTGGAGATTGACCAACTACATTAAAACCTGGGCAGAAGAAGACTCAGAAGAACAACTGGATGTACAACCAGCAAAAGAAGCTGGATTCTCATCCACCACACCCACTCCTCTAGAGGGCACAGGCACTGATATGAAACACAGAATAATGCCCCTGTTAACCCAGAGTCTAATTACCAAGGCTGGGTGGGAAAGCACCATCAGATAGAAGCCAGAAGCCAACAAAGCCCTCATGACCCTCAGACCAATGAAATAGTATATGATACAGCTGCTGTAATCCTATAGATGCTTGACTACATGATCAAGAAGAAGGGCAGCGCATATCCCCCTGAAAAATAAGGCTGGAAGCTAAGATCAAGACCACTTGGAAAGAAGTTAGTCAACTGGTGGAACTACAGAAAGGTGTGAAGACAAAAAAAAAGAAAAGGCTACTAGAGAAATGCAAGGGGCTGGCACTGCTAAACAAATGCTCAAAGCACTTGCAGCAAGGCTAAAAAGATACACCAAAGAGACAGAGGCTAAAAGGGTAAATGCCCTGTTCTCCAAAGAACCATCCAAGGTGTACTCACAGCTACAGTGCAACAACACAGTCAGAGCAGAGCCACCAAAAGCAGAAACCAAACAGTACTGAAAGGGCATATAGGAGGAAGAGAAAACACATAACACCAGTGCCCAGTGGCTGCAGGACCTGAGATAAGGATAATCACCTTTATTGGCCATATTACACACAAGGAATTTGTTTCCTGTGCAGAACCGAGGCAGCCATCTGTGGTGCCAACTCAACCGATGGCTCTAACCATCAGGGGCAACTTGTGGGTTCATTGTCTTTCCCAAGGACACTTTGACACGTGGACTGCAGGCACCACGATTCAAACCTCCGACCCTCTGGTTGGGAGACGACTGCTTTATCCACTGAACCACAGTCGCCCCCAGAGCAGACCACAGAAATCTCATAGAACAGGAGCCAGACACTATCACTGTAGCAGACATCCAACAGTGAGTCAAGAATATGAAGAGGTGGACAGGGCCTGGTACAGACATAATCCACACCTACTGAGTAAAGAACTTAACAGCAGTGTATAAGCACCTAGCAGCACAGATGAACCCACTGCTAGCAGCAGGCTTCCACCCACACTGGCTAACACAGGGAAGGACAGTGTTGATCATGAAAGACCCCCACAAGGGAACAGCACCATCCAACTACTGACCAATAACCTGCCTTTCCACAACATGGAAGGCCCTATCAGGCATCATTGTTATGGTTAGTCCCCCTCACCAGGAGGGTGAGGGAGAACTAGGGCTAGGACTCAAGATAGCCGACCCAGGTGCTAGTACAAAAATGGGAGGTTTAATGTAAAACAACAACAAAGTGACAACATAACAAGGTCCATAATACTTACAATAAGGGAAGGACAACTAAGAAGACCAGGACGAACAGGTACACATACACTGATGACAGGAACTGGGATAACAGAGGATGTGGACGGACAGGCAAACAAAAGAACCAACATACACAATATAATCCACCGCACAGAGACTGTCAGCGTGGATGACAGAAGGACATGTAGCCAACCGCAGAATAGCGTGAATAGGTCAAGCCAAAATGCACAGGAACTGTCAGCGTAGCATCTAGAGACGTCTAAAACATGCGGGTCAAACAATAAACTTCTATCCACAGCACAGAGACTGTCAGCGTGGACGACAAAGGGACA